AAAGGGGCCTTAAACCCCAAGGCAAAAGTGTGTTTTCATGCAAAATTCACTCTTTTCAGTTTTCAGGATTTTCAGGATTTTCCAGGGCTGGCCAAAACCGTGAACTCCAACACCCTAACAAACACCAAAATTGGCACACACAGACCTTGACAAAAAAATAAAACGGCAAAAAAAAAAAAAAAAAAGACTGGAAAAAATTATCTCCAATGCACTTTTCTGGGTTGGGGTTGTTACCTTGGGGCTGAATAGTGGGGGTCCCTTTTAACCTTTGGTGAGGGTGGTTGGTAGGTTGCCAAAGCTTGGATGCCACTAATGCAGGACCTGCCAGAGAGGGTTCCCCTACCCACAGGTCGGGTGATTGGTAATTTGGTAGGTTTCAGCACTATCACGCCCGGTCTGAGCATTGATGACAATATCCTAGGGTTGGGGGCAATGAAACACAAGAATGACCCAGAGTCCTCAATCCTGCTGGTTCTCTTACCACCACAGGATCGCAGGACCCCAAGGGATGTTTAATAAAACACACACACACACACACACACACACACACACACACACACACACACACACACACACACAAGAATGTCCCATTTACTCATCCAGATGCAATGAAACACAGACGCACCCAAAAACAGCACAGCATCGAAGAGGAAATCACCATTTTCATATAAATACTTGTGAAGATGGGAATTTGATAATATGCAATGACATTTTCCCAACACGCTTGTGAATAAGGGAATTGATCAAGGGAAGCCATTGCATCTCAGCCAAGGTAACAAAGTGACGAAGGGCAGCACCATGCATGGAGGTAAACAGCAACAAGAAGCGCGACTTCTGCGGCCCAGAAGCTTAGAAAAAAGAAGCCGCTGTGAACAGAAGAAGACATATACCCCACGCATAACCAAGGCCTCGTCGAGTACTGAAAATTTGGACACACAAGATAACTTGCAATAGCGCTTTCTCACATGGACCTGACTGTAAATTTGAAAGTAGCGGTGCTGTGCGTATCAGTATATCCCCTGCAACTCACGTACCCAAAACTGTGAGAAACAGAGCAATGCTGAGCAAGACAAGCTGATGCAACACAGATGAGTGGGAAAAGCGAAAGGCAAATGGATGGGCGGGAAGGGAAGCGAGGACGACAAAAAAGTCACCATGAAAAAATCAAGACCAACAAAAGCTGATCTTCGCATGTATAATCTCCCTACAAACTTGTGATGGAAATCAAGGTCGTGCGATGACGGCCGACCAACCATGAAAATGCATGCGAGGCCGAGCAGAAAACAGACAAGCACCTTATGGTGTAGACTCAAAGCTTGGAGTCCCTTGCTCAAAACTGGCGACCGATGTTTGAAACGCCAACTACCATGCCCCATAGAAACCAGCCACAAGGAGCACATCCATATCCTCCCTGCCAAAAATGCCATAGTCGTAAGATTACGCATCCTTGCGTCTGGACTCGTTGATCGCTGGCATGCCTTCCAAACCATGCAAGGGTTGGCCTTGACAAGCACCTCACTCTACACTTTACACACAGAGATGGATCACAGGTCTTGCTGCAATAAGACAACCAACAGCATTCGCGAAAGCCATCATATGACCAGGTGCATGATTCACGTTTAGAAATTCGAAAAAAGTCCACATAATTTCACTATTTATTTAATCCCAGTTACTTTCGTTTACATGTCAGCAAGTGAGCTCAAGTACAAAGTTTCATTCTATGGAATCAATCAAAAAAGAACAATTGAAAATGAGTTGCGGATTCCTTTTAGACGTCGGCAAGCAGATGGGTGGTTCTGTTTATTTCCGCTAAAAGATTATTCCCATCAAGATATATTGTCATAATAATTACAAAAATTATTAATTTCGTCACTTCCCTAAGTTCCCTTTACTTCCATTACATTTCAGCAAGTACAAAGATCCTTCCATGATACTTCCATGATACTTCCGTGATACTTCTGTAATACTTCCGTTCACTTCCAGCAGATCTCAGCAAGGAAACAGGTTCCTTTTCGATGGCAGCAAGCAAACAGATACTTCTGTGAAACTTCCATTATATACTTCCATTATACTTCCATTACACTTCCATTATACTTCCATTATACTTCCATTATACTTCCATTACACTTCCGTTATACTTCCATTCTTTAGGCACAACACCAATAGGAATAAACTAGACAAGATAATGATTACTGATAATGGCACTAATATGTAATCTTCGTCATGATCATGGGGGAAAAGAAGAAGAACAGATGAAAATGTTAACCTTTGGTGAGCCAATGCAGGAGCAAGCAAACAGAATTACCTATTTCCCTGGTGCACAATGAATTGCCATAATCATCCAACTATACAGGGGGTGTCATTGCCATGATTGTCATCATCATCATCATCATCATCATCCTCATTACGTTTCATTATCATCATAGTCATCAGCATCATTACCATCATCATCATCATCATCATCATCATCATCATCATTACGTTTCACTGACATTGTTAGGTGTCGTCATTGCCATCAATCGCCTGTAAAAGCCTGCCCGTAGTTTGCCGTGATGTATGAGAGTCATTTATCAGTGATTACCTGCCGCTCTTGAAATGTGAACTCATTAAGGTAATCACACGTATCGAGTGTGACTTTGAACAACGCACAGACTTACTTACATCCCACAGTGCAAAAATAATTTATCATCATCATCATCATCATTCGTCAGTCATCAATCATCGCCATTGCCATTGCGAGCATCACTCTCGCTCGCCTCTGTGATATTTGAGTCGCTTGTATCGCGAGTCTGCTTTTCTGAATCTGAAGTTCTGTGAATCATGACTGGTTAGGAAGGTTCCCTGCAAATCTTCGTCAACTGTCATTCACAGCTTTTATCATCAATGCGATCTTCAAGATCTTTTTTTTGGAACTCCCTCAGCTCCAATCAAGCTTTTACAGGGAACCTCCATCTGCAAATCTTCAAGCACCACCAATCACCGCTAACCACCATCATTCCCTCAGCTCCAAGCAACCCGTGACAAGCTGAAGGTTTCCGTTTATCAGCCATTGCTTCATAAATCATCGAGTTTGTATCTCCCGAAGAGAGTAACTCTTGGCGTTATTGAATGCCCAGTTTCTCAAGATCTTTTTGAACTCCAAAACTCTGAAGATCTCCACGTCTAGGTATGCATCATTCACGCAACAAGAACGTACAAATCAAAGCTCTGCTTTACTGATACATCCTTTTCATTCTGCTTCGTCTTCTTCCTAACCTTCTCATCCTCCTCCTCCTTCTCCTTCCCTGCTGCTGCTGCTTCTGCTTCTGCTTCATCTGCATACCCTTTTTCCCCTCCTCCTCCTCCTCCTACTACTACTACTACTGCTACAACTACTACTACTACTCATGCCAGCAGCTGCTGATCCTTTCTTCCTCTGCAAGTGCCACACCTTCCCAATCTCCATGTTATCCATCTTCTTCTTCTTCTACTTCTTCTTCTCCTCCTCCTCCTCTCCTCCTTCCTCTGCGCACCCTTCTTCTCCTCCTCCTCCTCCTCCTCCTATTACTACTACTACTAGTACAAGCGGCTGCTGATCTTTTCTACTACTTTACCAGCGGCTGCTGATCTTTTCTACTACTTTACCAGCGGCTGATGATCTTTTCTCCCTCCGCAAGTGCAGCATCTTCCCAATCCCCATGCCATCCATCTCCTCTCCTCCTCCTCCTCCTCCTGCTTCTGCTGCTGCTGTGCGCTGCTGCTGCTGCTNGTGCAGCATCTTCCCAATCCCCATGCCATCCATCTCCTCTCCTCCTCCTCCTCCTCCTGCTTCTGCTGCTGCTGTGCGCTGCTGCTGCTGCTGCTGCTTCGTCTGCATACCCTTCTTCTCCTCCTCCTCCTGCTCCTACTACTACTACTACTATTACTAGCGCCAGGAGCTGCTGATCTTTTCTCCCTCTGCAAGTGCCACACCTTCCCAACCCCCATGGCATCCATCTCCTCGCACAAGATTACCACGAGCGTCTGGACCCACTGGTTTGACCTATCCACCAGACTTACAAGAGACGGGTAGCCCACCCACCCCTGGCCAACTACTGAGAGAAAGCAGCCCACCCCTGACCAACTAGTGGGAAGAGAGGGGTAGCCAAACCCTCTCGTATGCAGGGGTACCTTCATGACTGCACACAACACCCTTGACCATAGTGCCCAGAAACCCTACCGGCCCATAAACCCCAAAAACAACAGAACGAAAAGAAAAGAAAAGAACCGCCTTGCCAAAACCCAATACCAGAAGACATTTCTCCTTTTAAAAAACAAGAGTACACCTTTACCATTCTCCGACTAAACTTCTCCGTGAAGACATGCCCTCGGAGCAACTTCAAGAACTTCAAGAACACGGGCCCCGGACAGGGGAAAACACACAGTGCGTTCTTGCTGGAGGAGTCTTCTGTCTTAGGTAAGTTGTCTCTTATCTTCTTCCTCCTCTTTGGCAGTGACGCGAGTGTGTAGTTTGAGATGAATGTCGGGAATGCCAATGTTGTTATAATTGTTTGTTTTTGATAAATGAGTTTTTGGTTTTGCGGACCGATGCGGAAGGCTGTCCAAGTTTTTTCGGACCTTTGAGGGAGTCGGGTCGGTGCCTTCTTGCTGGAGTAGTCTTCTGTCTTATAGGTAAGTTGCCTTCTGCACTCCATCCCCTTATGGTTTGAAATATATTTTATACGTATGTATATATGCAAGTGTGCCACTTTGGCAGCAGACAGGTGTGTGGGCACTTGGCGCTGAACCACACAAACGTGGCCAGCATTGCATTTTCTATTATATTGCCTATATATATTGTTTCGTTATGGATGGCTTGTGATGATCTGTGAAGGGAATGAGAGAGAGAATCTGGGGTCCTTTAAAACAACACACACACACACACACACACACACACACACACACACAGAGCAACCTCTTTCATACACACAACTGCAGTGCATATGAAGCCCAACACTATGCGCCAAAAAAAAAAAGGAAAAAAAGAAGAAAGAAAACGATACTAGATGCCTGTGTTTAAGAAAACGATACTAGATGCCTGTGTTTGCCCACACATCATGAACAGGGAACCCCCCGTTTCTCAGCCTACAGGTAAACCATAGGTCCGCCCCCCCAGGCATTGAAATAGAGGCATTTGGATTGGTGGTAGCTACAGTTTAAATACGCATTTAGGTTTTTGTTACAAACGCCATGTGCAAACACTGACCCTTTCTTGGTGGTGGTGGTGACGGAGTAGATGGGGGGGGGGGGGGGGGGGGGGGGGGGGCAGGGACGGGGGAGGAATGAAAAATTAAATGGTATGATAACCATCTGCCACGTTTGCAACTAGGAAAACAAGTTAGCCCTGCCTACGTTGTAAGCTCGTGTAACAGTCCACAGTTTACCCAGCCACGATAGCCCAGGATGACAGTTTCCCCAGTTCACAGTTACCCCGGTGACACAGTTCACAGTTACCCCAGTTAACTGGTTGGGTAACAGTCCACAGTTTACCCAGCCACGATAGCCCAGGGTAACAGTTTCCCCAGTTCACAGTTACCCCGGTTAACTGGTTGGGTAACAGTCCGCAGTTTACCCAGCCAGATAGCCGAGGGTAACAGTTTCCCCAGTTCACTGTTACACCGGTTAACTGGTTACCTGTTACCCCAGTGACTGACATTGAGGTGTACCTACTTTTCTCAATGACATAACAGTTAACCATGAGCAAGCCTGGAAGGGCACGTGACCTCCCAAGGCCGTAGTAGATGTAGTAGATGCAGTTTACCCAGCCAGATAGCTGAGGGTAACAGTTTTCCCAGTTCACGGTTACCCCGGTTAACTGGTCAACTGTTACCCCAGTGACCGACATTGAGGTGTACCTACTTTTCTCAATGACATAACAGTTAACCATGAGCAAGCCTGGAAGGGCAGGTGACCTGGTGTCAAGACCACTTTAATAGGCGTTAAGAATCTTAAGCAACCAGTACTTGGCCCAGCTATCGATGCCGGGCCTGGAATGCCCCTGCACGCCAATTTTTGCCAAAGCGCCGGGGTACCGTTTTGAATTTTTTTGGGCTGGCGCTTCCAGCCATTGTGGTCCAGTACCCCGAAGCCCTAAAGGCGCAGCGCGTTAACGGGGAAGCACTGCGGCCGATAGCTGGGCTAAGTGCTGGTGGTTAAGACCCCTTTAATAGGCGTTAAGACTCCTTTAATGAGTGTCAAGGCCCCTTTAAACCACCAGTACTTGGCCCAGCTATCAAGTCCGAGCCTCGGCCAACCGGTATGCCGAGCACCGGGCACTAGCTTCCCTTACCTGGTTGCAGAAAAACACAGAAAAGAGAAGACAAAAAAAAAAATTACA